TTGCGTGCAATGACTATATTGACAGAAATGGGAGATTGATAAACATGCTGAAACAATAAAAACATTCAACATTTAAAACATTCCGATTCCGATTATTCCTCTGTCAAAGCAGCTCTTCATTAAGATCTCATAACTGACTGTGAGTGTACAGGCGATCGCCTCGTTCAGATAATGTTGCACAATTAAAATGAAAAAATGACACACATAAATAAACTGTTTTAAAGATTGACGTTTATAGTTAAAATAAGTTTAATTTCGTGTCTAAACTGCGTCTGGCCATTACTTTCTGACAGTCACGCGGGGAGACTGGGCGGGGATTTAAATTACCTTCACCTGTGAATGCAGACACGATGGCTGGATTGCGTTTACATTACACTGAGATCCGATCACAATGCGTCCTCGACTGCCTCCGAACCGGGACACGCTGATCGGATAACATTCCGATCAGATGTGCGTTTACACTTGTCTTTTCAATGTGTATGTGGACAACATCCAGATACAGGTCGCATGTTAATACCAAGTGTAAACGCAGCCTTAGTTGCGTGAGGTAATTGGAGCTGCTAAAACACAGGCTCTTAAAGCTCCGCCCTCTGTGCCGGGAGCAGCAGCTCATTTGCATTTAAAGGGACACACAAAAACGGCGCGTTTTTGCTCACCCTCAAAAAATGATAACTTTAAACATGCTATCCCAAATATCTGTGGGGTATTTTGAGCTAAAACTTCACATACACACACTGGGGACATCAGATACTTCTTTTACATCTTGTGAAAAGGGCATAATAGGACCCCTTTAAACATTCACTTCACCAAAGCTCTCTCTATTTCACTGTAGATCATTGAAACCGTTACGCTGCCTCAGAAGTTTGTCTGAAATCAGTTTCGTGAGGTGCCTCCGTGCGCAAACACTGCCTGCAAAGTCATTGCCTAATAAAGCAGCGAGACAACAAGTCAGCAGCCTAAGTTTTCGGACGCAGCCCATTCACCTGAAGAGTTTTACGTCATCACGACAACCTCTTTTGCGCCCTTCAATAATAATAATCACCTCCCTGGAGTGTTTTCACTAACCATCCTGCGTTTGTCTTTGTTCCTTGTCGAGCTCCAAGGTTGTCAAGGGGGCGTGGAAGGACGGATACCTCTTTCAGGATCATAAAGTCAAGTGGCAATTCTGAGCCTCTCCAGTCAGTCCTTACAGTCCCGCCTGTATCAAATACACTCATGTCTGTGAACAAATCCATCTGTATTATGTGGACACCTCAGCGTCTATACTGACATTCTGTCTTCTAATCAAACACCAAAAAAAGTCCCTGTTTGGATTTAAGTTAAATCCAAACTAATAGTAACAAGTCATAAGTTCAACACATTGCTGTTTACATATGAAAATTTGTCAGCTACAACAGAGTGAGACTTCTCCTTTCACAGAAGAAAATTGGGAAATAAAGTGCGACAACAATAAGAAGTGAAAAGAATAATAAAAATTAAGGTTGGTTGCATTATACATCTTAATGTATCTCTTTTCTACTGCATCAAAAGAAGGAACTCTGTAATTTTCACACTAAAAACCTCAGGTAGGAGGAGATGCAGATCGCAGGCGAAATCCCTGCAGGAGTGCGGAGACAAGACATGCTCATGTTACACTACATTTGTTGAATTAATAACAGATAATTTAGCTGCAGGTGCAGGAACACACTGTGCTCCGTGCGTTAAACTCAGCATCCAGGGTTGCTTTCTTCTCTGATGTGAAATCAGTCTTTGAACGTCTCGGGTTTGCAGAGCAAACTCCTGGTTCAGAATAATAACGCCGCTTCTGCAAAATCTGCTACCGCTGAGCATCACGACTGAAAACAGCGCATCGGTGTGTCCTCGACAGGCATCTGTACTTCCAGTCCCTGTAAGCGAGTAGGTCTTATTTACTGACAGCTTTGTGCTTTGCCCTACAGTGCCCCTATGACAACAAAATATGATTTTTTTCTTTATAACATCTTTAATAAAGGGATACTGACCCAAAAATGAAATTTCTGTTATCATGTACTCTTCACGCCTTTCAAAACACTTTCTTTTTTCAGTCGAACACAGAAGATGATGTTTTGCGGAATGTCCCAGTTGCTGAATGAAAGTGAATGGGGACGAAGGCTGCAAGTGTTATTTTAGTTTAGTTTTCATGTTAATTTTAGTTTAATAATTAATTATATTAGTTTAATAAATGATAAATCATTTTTGTAATTTTTATGGGCTTTTGTCAATTTATTATATATATATATATATATATATATATATATATATTTAATATTGCTATTTATGTTTAATTTATTTTGATTTCAGTTTGTTTTATTTATTTCCAATTAATCATTGTTTATTGCCAAGGAAACATTTCTAAAAATATATATATTTTAACCACAATTTATATTTTATTTCAGCTTCATTTTAATTAACAGAAATGTTTTTAATAGTTTTACTATTTTGTTTTAATAACCCTGTCTATAACCTTAAAAAAAAAAAACACACACAAAGTATTTTCATGACTAAAAACACATGGTAAAAAAAAGTTTTTTTAAAAGTTGTAAATAAAACCGATTATCAAACTAGTTATTACAAAAAAATACATCAAAATGACACTCTTATTTCATGTTACTTGCTATTTCTTTGTAATTATTTTTAATTGTTTTAATTGCTTCAACGTACATCAATTTTTAAATAATGTCGATATATCGTGCAGCCGTACCGTCGTATTCAAACCCCTTTGTACTTCGGACCAGCTTTTATACAATCCGTCAAAACGAAGCTAATGTATGTTATGTAAGCATCTATCATGTACAAACGAGCAGACACAACCATTCAAATTTGTCCTGATCAAATGTCAATATGCATGAGTCAGGACAGGCTTTCTGAAGGAGGCAGGATTGTGTTTGATGCTCTGGATGTTGTGGGCCCTAATCACTGTGGTGTTTAATTTAACAAAGCCACAGAAAAGGCTGAGACAACTAAGGCGAGGGAGCAGTTGCTTTCCAATGTCACCATCTGTTATTTATACAGTTACCGCCTCCTGCGGGAGATGGCAAAAGGCCACATATTGCAGAAAAAAACATAAATCTATCACTTCAACTCATTATCTTTTTAATCAGCTGACACAGGCTCCCCTCGCAGGGGAACAGCACAGCCGGGGTACATTTAGGACAGACCCATAACTCACCCACAGCTCCCCCATCCAAAGAAAAAATAATATTACAGAAGGGTGAACATGAGTGTGAATAGGTGTGTGAGGTTTGACTACACATACTGTGCACGGCCATCTACGTCCAAAAGGTTATTAGATCTATTTATTTCTGTTGTTTGCTTCGAAATACATTTTTGTTCTCTTTTTTTTTTCACTTTAAATGAAAATAGGTTATTTTGGATGGTGACATTTTGTTAAGTTAGTAAATCCAAAAAAAAAAAAAAAAAAAGTTAAAACACTAATGTTACTGAGACACTGGACTTCTGCAGGGGTGCAACAGTACACACAGACACACACACACACACACACACACACACACACACACACTATCAGGTTTTGACTTGTTTTGTTTATGACTTTTATGTTCACTAAGGCTGCATTTACTATATGTGCAAAAAATTACAGTAAAAACAGTAAAATTGTGAAATATTCTTATAATTTACAATATGATTTCTATTTTAATATATTTTAAAATGTAATTTATTCCTGTGATGCAAAGCTGAATTTTCAGCATCATTACTCCATTCTTCAGGGTCACATGATCCTTCAGAAATCATTCTAATATGCTGATTTGCTGCTCAAGAAACATTTCTTCTTTATCAACTTTGAAAACAGTTGTGCGGCATAATATTTTTGTGGAAACCGATGAATTTTTTAACCTATTTGATGAATAGAAAGTCCAAAAGAACAACACTCATTTGATATCGAAATGATATCAAAAACTTCCACTTTTCATCAGTTTAATGCATCCTTGCTCAATAAAAGTTTTTGTAAATAATAATAAAAAAAAAAAATCATACTGACCCCTAACTGTTGACCGGTAGGGTATATTGTCAGCAAAAATGAATATTTTTAAATGAATATTTTCAAAGAAAATAATTGATATTAACGCAGAATTGCATGCATCTCAAATGTTTGGTGGAGAGTGTTTTCAAAAATATCTCTCACCAAACTTTTTTCATATGTTGTTGATTTGCTCTGTTCTGCAAGCCCGTACAATCTATTGCATAGGAAAATCTGCTTGAATATTCCACAAAAACAATTCCACAGGATACGAGCAATTTCACTGCTGATTACGCTCTGAAATGATGCTGGTGAAAACGGCGTAGCTCCGCAAACTACAGGTCTTATTCGGTGATTTCAGCACACGATTGGTAAAACAAAAAATCAGACTTGAGTACAAAAAAAATGTTTACAAAATGAATAAATGTAAATGTGTGAAAGGCCTGTTAAACTACAACATGTTGGCCTGGTTTCACAAACCGGGTTTAGATTAAGCCAGGCGTAGGCCTTAGTTCAACTGACATTTAAGTAGCTTTTACATTTAAAACAGCTCAAATATGCATTTTAGACTGGGACTAGGCTTAAAGGAATAGTTCACTTAAAAATGAAAATTCTGTTATCATTTACTCACCCTCAAGTTTAAAAACCTGTATGAATTTCTTTCTTCTGCTGAACCCAAAAGAAGATATTTTGAGTAAATGATGACAGAATGAACTATTCCTTTAAGCCTCGTCTGTGAAAACTGGGGGTTTATGATTAGCTGGGGGATTAATTAAAAATATTGTGTTTGTCTGGGAGTATTAAAAATAAATAAACAACAGACACATGAACTAGCTGTAAAACAGTCTTGTTTGATCTCTTCCATTTTCCTCTCCAATGAGACAGTGCTAGCAGTTCCTCCATCAGCGTGTGTATGTCACACAAGATCCCATCTTCAGAAAAGACTCAGTGCCTGATCTAAAATCAGCCAAAGTGTGTTCCTCACAACCTGTTCCTGTACACTCACCTGCCAAGTCTTCCACAGTGCCAGCAGCTTCTGGACATCTTCACGCTCGGGTTTCGCTAGCTGGCTTTGCCCTGCGCACACAAAAGAGAAGAACAGCCACGTTACAATTGCAAAACCACTTGGATGCTGTCGGTTCCTCGGTTCCAAATGTTCGAAAAGGGAACTGCGGTAAGACAAAACCTTAGTTTAAAAACATATGAAACAAGAGGCTCTTAAAAATAAAGTGCTTTCCTGGTATCGATGGTTCCATGAAGAACCTTTTTGAATCCATGGAACCTTTCCAACTCACAAAAGGTTCTTTATATTATTCTTTAGATTATTAAAATGGCCTTTTTTTCTTTCTTTCGAGGAACCAAAACGTATTTTTACGAGTTTTCTGACTTACTTCACACGGGTTACAATACTAGATGTGCTTTTTATAAATACTAACACCAGATATCCTCACTTGGTTTCATTCACAATGACCAGCTAGAAATGTTTCACAGTTTCCTGAACAGAGGAGATGACTCAGACGCCACAGTTGCTAAACAAGCAGAAGCATTTTTGTTTGATCCTCAAGTTTCTCATGTCTAAGTGCTTTTTGGTAAGTGGATAGTGTGTGTACATAGTTATTTTGCTGACCTGATGTTTAACTCTCATTTACAACGTGGGAAACCCAATGAAAAGCGCCTTTGCTACCGCAAATTAAAGGGATAGTAAAAAAAAATATATCATTCTGTTATTATTTACCAAATGGAGTGTGCAGGGATGATGTCGAGACCTGGACGACTAATTCACCACTGGTTCCCTTGAGATTTTTCCATGGGTTTTTATAATGAGTTTTTTCAATTTATGAGCAAACAAAAGTTGGGGAATCCCTGCATTGCATGTAAATATTAAATGGTATGAAATTGTAAATTTTAATGTTTTGGAAGACAAAAGCCTTCCAAAGACAGCAATACATGGTTAATTGCAGTGTTGGGTGTAATTAATTAGTTATTATTGATGTAATTGCATTAAATACTGTATAGACTATACAACATTTCTATGTAAAACAATAGTGGATTTGATCTGTGCTGCAAGCCCTGCAAACTACTGCAATGGATATCCGACATAAATATGATAAATGCACAAAATATATATTTTACAGTTCATGAAAAGCAGCATAAAAAGCACCAGTACAATTTGTTTCTTTCAGATTTGGAATGCAATAGCTTAACCATTTATGTTAGTTTCTGATCATCTTCTATTCTGAAACATTTCTGGGAGGAAATTTAAAAATGGAGCTTGGCGCATTATGTCAGGTTTGACGTCATTAATAAAAAGTGCCACTGTCATAACCAAAAATGTTGCACCGGTTTACAAATTCAATTTTCCTCAACTTTGTTTTTCCCCCTTTTTCTCTTTTTCTTTCCTTTTTGGAGCTTTCAAAATTTGACAGAATTTTCACTTTTTAGGTGAACTTGTATTCAAGCTGAAAGTTTACAGTTTCCAGAATCTATCATTTTTAATAAAATGTAACTGCTCCAAATAAAGTATTGTAGTTAAACCCAGTAGCAGTGCATATTCAGGCAAACTGAAATTGACTGCACATCAGTATAATCAATATGAGTATTATATTTAAAATCCTTTCATCAATATGAATTACAGGCAATTGAGCGTCTGGCCCCAAACACACTCACACAAACGACTACTATGATTATTAATATGCAAACAAAGCTAAATGAAAATAAATATAATGCATAATGCTCTTCTGCATAAACTCTTCTCCAAATATATGCAGGCTTTTTTGTTTGTGCAATACAATATAATACAATATGTACTCATCTGCACAGTAATGCTCGTTTGCTTCTGTCCCAGAAAATGAGGGGGCGTGACATGAGCTATACAACATGCTTTTCAGGAAGTCTTATATAATACAGAGAGAGACTTTGACTAATAATATGGAGAAAAGAGACGCATGATACAAAAATGCACACATAAGAACCGCGAGGCTGAATCTCCCATGAGCACTGCATCTATCTGCAGTCTTCAGAGAGCAGTTCCTCATATTAATAAACACAAACGATTGTTGAATTGGTTTAAATATAAGCCTCGGATGTTCAGAGACAACCTACAATCCAACCATTGACAATCTAATGCATTTAAATAATAAAAAACAGCATCCACTTTCTCAAACTTGCAAGCTCTAATCTGATAGGATTAAATAATGCCATTTCCAGGAGTCACAGTGAACTGGTTTTTACCAGTCTGCCTGAAAATAAAGTTGTTGTTTTTTATAAGTTACCAGCAGCTACAATGAAATATGAGATATTTCAAACTTAAACTTTAAATGTGCCAGTCAAACAATCTCTTCCTGGCCAAATAGGTTTTAGTCAGAGATTTAAATTTCATTTTAACTCTTCATATCCTCGAAGCTAACTGATACCGCATGCATGTAAACAAACAAAGCAGCTCGAGTCTGTTATATATTTTGTGAGCTTGTCTGTTGCGTTTGTTTGATCGACTCCAGACTTCACTTCATATGTTTTGCAGCCTTTGATGGTAAAAAAGTGACTCCATATTTAAGCTCCAGTTAATGCTTAGACTCTTAATCGCCATCATCAGCGCCACAGTCACCAATCTCTCTCTCCCCTGACAGTGCTCTAGATCGTCTTTTTAGTTTTTTCCACCTCGTGTGAGGTAGCTACATGTCTTCCTGGCAGGAGGAAAATATATGCTAGCTATAATTAGTATAGCGGGCATACATATTTAAATATGCATACATTAGACAAGGATGTTGCGGGGGGAATGAAAACCCAAACAGCCTTGTGATCATTTAAAAGCCAAGAAATGATTGATATGGATGGATGGATGGACACAGGTTGATGGATGGATGGATGGACAGACACAGGCCGATAGATAGATAGATAGACAGGCAGAAAGACAATATACATATACATATATGCACATTCTGAACTTTGAAGGAGTTTTATGTTCTTAAAGCGACAGTAGCCTATTATTCATGGCACAATGAACTCTTTAATCTAAGAAGATCCGACCCTTTAACACCAACTCTGAATAAAAGATAAACACATGCTTCATGTTGAAGGAATCAAAACAAATATGCAGTGGAGTTGTGAAGCACAGAGTGCCAGTCTGTATCCCACAATCCACCTTCCCTGCCCACACATCGTTTGCCTGCTACCGGCAGCATCAACCCTGACCCAACAATCTATAAATATGTTTCCCATCATGCTCCTGAGGCTGGTTTTGACGCACTCCACTTTGGAGCCCTTTTATCTTTAAACTGCTGCTGTGAGTAGATCAAAACACCAACAGTGTTTTGTGAGAGTGCAAATTCAGCAGCGTATTTGCGTTGCTTCCAGCGTAGCGCTACGGTCAACTTGTTTGATCACCTCTGTTGTCTTGTTTTCCTTCTCTTTCTTTCGCGCTTTGTTGTTCAGTGCAAGCGAGGTCCATCCTTTAGTCCCTGGGGTGCATCTCTGCTTTGATTTGAACCCGTAGGGTCAGGATGCATCACCCTCGATAAAAAAAAAAAAAACATAAATGCAAATGACCTTTAAATCAATGGCCCAGCGGACACACTGGAAGTGAATGCCGAGAGAAGCTGAAACCAGCAGCAAGGTTGTCTGGTCCATTTGTCTTCTTTGAATGGTAAATCTATCTGTGTCTGAGCAGAGGATCCCACAACGAGGAAAAATAACGATGACCCTACGGGAGACATAATGAGGCATCATGTAAAGGTAGAGGAGAGAGAGCGTGAGATTGAGAGAGAAGAAGGAAGTAAGGCCAGCCATAAATCATATTTCAGCTCATATGGTACCTTGACTTCCATTTAAAGGGGTGGTTCAGAAATTTGGACATCGGGCCTCATTTCCAAGCCTTAGTGTTATTTATCAGTGGAGACAGTTTTCAAAAATGTGCATAGTTGCATAGTTCGCCGGTGCTAATTCTGAACCACCCCTTTAAAGATGCTGTATGATGTCTATTTTTGTATAATAAAGCTTGAAAACAACTTTACTTTCTCAACCTGATGCATTTCTGAGTGAAACTGGATATTTGATGAGGGGAAAAAAGTAGGGCGGGACTATATTTAAAGGGGCGGGGCTGAAAAGTAAAAGGGATTGGTAATGTCATCAAAAAAGAAAAGTCGTTTCAGAGGCAGAACAAATTGTTATATTTTGATAAAAGTTTGCAAAGACAAGCTCTCTGGGCCCTATTTTAACGATCTAAGCGCGTGGTTTAAAGCGCACAACGCAAGTGCACTTAGGGTGTTCCGAATCCACTTTTGCTAGTTCAACGACGGGAAAAATGCACACAAAAATGTTCTCTTAATGAGTAATGGGTGTATTTTGGGCTTTACGCGCAATGAACCAATCAGAGTCTCATCTCCCATTCCCTTTAAAAGCAAGTTGCGCTCGCGCCATGCGAATTCGCTATTTACATGACGGAATTTGGAAGCGGAAAGACTGAACGCGAGTCGACTCCGGAGAGGAAACAGAGCGGGAGCAGACCATTTACGGGACAAGCCAGGTTCCACCACATCTTTATGTACACAATATGAATCTTTTACATTGTAATCCTTTTTTATTTTTAATATTTGGCATGTTTGTGTGCTGCTGCATGTCCCTGTGTGTGTAATAAGCAGAGTGTACGCGCATTGCGCACCCGCCTATAGGCTCATATTACTAATGCGCTCTTTAAATAAAAAAAGAAAAATTACTGCGCCATTGACTTTAGACCAGGTTTTTGTTGGTCAATGGCGCAGTCTATTTCAGTTGCCTCTAAATAACAAAAAACACTTGCACCGCGCCTGGCGCTGCATTGCGCCGTGTGTATGATAGCGCCCTATATCTTTGAATCAGGCACTCGGTACACTGATAAATAATGCAATTAGACCAGGAATGTGTATTAAAGTAAATGGGGTCAATTTTGAATTAACGTCAAACTTCCCCAAAAAGAGATTTTTTTGTGCTATTTTCTGGAGACATCTGCAGTTTTGTCTCCAAAAAGTGTCAGAAACATACACTAGACCAGGGGTTCTCAACTCTGGCCCCTGGGATCCACTTTCCTGCAGAGCTTTGCTCCG